TACACTACTACTACTACTACTACTACTACTACTACTACTACTACTACTACTACTACTACTACTACTACTACTACTACTACTACTACTACTACTACCTATTTTAGCTATTGAATGTTTCTGCTTTTACTCTTCAACTTCGTGGTTTTTGTGGGGGGGTTTGGGGGGTTTTTTGTTCGCCTGTTTTTTCTTATATCATGGAAATATACTGAACGCTTGACCTGTACTTACTTTGGGGTTGAAAGAAACTAAGAGAAAGAGGGGCGCTGGGTAATTCGGTGTTATACGACTTGGAATGTGCAAAGCACGAACTCACTCGAAGACAAGGTTTATCGGTATGACGACGGTGGTACAAGTGCCCTTCTCAAGTCTACTGTGTGGAGGGTACTTTGTGGAGGGGTTCCAAGATATAGCTTTTCATTGGCGTAGTTTCTTCCGTGAACTTGTCTCCCTTGTCTCATTTTGGGCAAACTACTCTTCAGTTCGAACTGGAGGAGAAAAAACAACAACACATCAGTGGCTCTAGTGTTAACTATAAATATGGCCATGTTTGAATATATGAGAACCGGGTTAGAGCTTAGAATGACCGATTTTTCTGAATTGATGTCTGGGCGCCACGCTGCCCAGTCGTTAAACTGGCCAGTGATGGCTGGTCAGGCCTGTTCGCGCGGAAAATGGCTGTTCCAAGACTCAAGTTAACATCTCTTGTGCTCGATTGGACGAAGAGAGGTGTTCTCTTTCATGTGGCTGGAGCATTGCTGTGCTGTGCCCAGTATTACGTTGATCATTTGCTTGTGGAATCGTGGTGAAATCAGGCGCTCGTCGATATTTTTCGACCGATTTGGAAAAAAAAAATTCGAACTTTTATGTCCTTTTAAAAACATGTTTTTGTGGATTTTACTGGAAAACGTTGATTAAAGGCACAAGAAATATTTACTTTTCAGTTCCAAAGAACTCTCAAGCTTTGGAAATCAACAAACTTTGACGACTTTTTTCTCGTTAATTTTACCGCTGAAGGCAGGTGATCCCCAGCTTATTCAATCACCAATACCTCGACTTATATTCAAGACAGATGTCGTGTGGGTTTTTTTCGTCGAAATATAGATCTAGTCAAATCAACTAACTTTAAGATGATACCAATAACTCCACATGCCCAAAAATTGGCGAGCGCCTGATTCTACCGCGTCGTGACTCATTTGCCTGTGAGATCGCAAATGTCAAATGAGGTATGTCCGAGTTCTTTACCGAAGTGCATCATTGGACGGGTGGGGATATCGAGATCTATAAAAGTAGGGATGGGATATGGGTGGAACAGTGAGGGTGTGTGGGTTCTTTATGTCACAGCACGCTTCATTTTAATTTTAAGATTCTTTTAACATCCACTTCGGCTTGTGATTGTGATAGATACTGTTGATTGTGAAGGTAGGGGGGTGGCAGAGGTGTTGATGATTCATTTATCTTCTTTACATTGATCCCCCATTCCTACCAGTCTGCATCAACTCCTACAACCCCTGCCTTATCCCCATTTACCAAATCCATTTATTTCACTCGGGACGTTGCACGCTGATAAATGTCTTAGCATTCAGAAACATGTTCTATAATAGTAAGGGTTAATTGTCTCAGCTGCTTAAAATGAATGTTCTGAGTGGCATCGGTGGCCTAGTCGTTGTACTCGTGGACTCGCAACCGTAAGGTCATGGGTTCGAATCCCGTCAGGGGCCTGAATTTGTGTCCTTGGGAAGGGCACCTTGCAACTTTGCACGAGTTTTTCTCACTTAACCCAGGGATGGAATGAGTACCTGGCTATAGACAGAGAAAGATCTTGTCAGTTTGATAGTGTTTGAGCGCTTAAAATCCGCAGCTTGCACTGAATACTTTCGTGGAAGCCAAGAATGTTTCTGGGTGTTCTCAGGGGGTCTGCTGTGGTAATAGTTGTGAAGGGCATAGAGCATGCTGTACAGCGTGGATAATATGTGCTACATAAATGCAATTATTGTTATTATTATTAATGGTACGCTCGTGATGACACGGGTTTGTCAATAATGGCAAAGAGAAATGGAAGGCCTGTGTGTCACGCATTCATCGGGTTCAAGGCTAGAAAGTTAATACTCGCTAGTTATCTCATTGAGAGACCAACTTGCAGTTATAAAAGGGCAACCAAAGATGAGACAATCACCCAGGGACCAAATGGTCGCCTTTTAGGACAAGCGGGCTAACTCAGATTTTGGGGGTTTCCAGAAATCTTGACCGACACCAAAAGTGGGCATTGCCCTACCTATAAGAGAGGTTTGATTTCATTGGCAAGTATATTTGTCTGGTTATAGAGAAAACTCTCCTTGTCTTTGACAGAGACTGAATAAGGATTTAAAAAATTTTACCTTCGATTTTCTCAAAGAGGCATTTATCGGGATAGCCCCCTTGTGCTTAAAGGCGACCAGATAATTCTGACCAAACCCGAAAGCGTGTTCAAGGACATAGATCTAGATCTACTACACAAGCGACTGATCCCTACGTTGTATTATAAGCTACGGTTGGATCTGGCCGATCGCCCGACTCGATCGCCTGAAACGGAAAACAAACACGTTTGTTTTTAGGCAACCGAGTTGGGCGCGATCCCATCTGTAGCTAGAGAGACAGAGACAGAGACAGAGACAGAGAGAGAGAGAAAGAGAGAGAGAGAGAGAGAGAGAGAGAGAGAGAGAGAGAGAGATAGGGAGAGAAAGATAAGGGAGGGGGAGTCGGAAAGGGGTGGGGTGGGGGTTAAGCGTGTTTACATCCTCAAGGTGACAATCTAAGCTATGTCAATGTCGTACAAATTCTTTTTCTGAATGTGTCTGTGTCAACTGCTTTATTTAGATGGTGCATCCCCTCAGCCATTCCTCGTGTCCACTTTCCACAAAAGCAGAAGCAACGGGACATTCCATACGTGTTTTTCTGTAGAGTCTCAGCAGACGTCAAAACAAAATAACACCTGCTTTCATCATTTCCTAACTTAATCTCCACAAATCCTCAGGTGTAGGTAAGTCATCCACGCTATAAATCCTATTCAAAATATCAAAGAATTAATCCTTACTATACCTTGCGCCACCGAAAAAAAAAATTATTATATTCACTAGTACAATGATGGTAACATTGGGGAAGTGGCGTCGGTGGGCTAGTGGTTAGGCTACCGGACTCGTAATCATGAGATTGCGGGTTCGGGATTTCGAGCCTCAGCTCGGTCTGACGCTATGTCATTGGGAAAGGCACTTTACACAAATTTGCCACTTGGCACCGTCCTTTCAGAGATGGAAGTTAAACTTGGAGGTCCTGCCTCTTAAATAACATAATAGTGTTGATAGGGGCGTCAAACCTATGCCATTTTTTAAGGAAGCGGGGTGCTCTACACCCACGTAGTATGAAGACCATCATGAATTATATATATATATTCCTGAAGGAAGATGGAGATACTCAATAAACTTCTGTGCTTGGGAATCGCACTCACGTTCAGTGTGTACTCATCTCCCTCCCC